AACAGCAACATCCAACATACAGCAACTACAGCAGCAACAGCAGCAACAGCAGCAATCATTGCAGGCAGAGTAGCAGAGTAGTAGTCCTAAACTAAGCTCAATGTCTCCAGCAAAATCCATGTGCCATGGTATTCGTGTGCTGATTGATTTGAATTGAATAATTGCAATTGTGCGGCTGGTATTTGTATTTGTATTTGTATTTGTATTTGCATTATTATTATTTATTATTCGCCATATGTCTTTTTGTACATTTTTGAGTTCGTTCGTTTTTGTGTTCGAATTGAGACTAATGACAAGTGGAGAGACCATTTCAATAACTAAACCACTAATCCGATATGTAAATTATAAAGGCGAAGTAAATACATAAATTGGCCAAACCCTCACCCGTTTCATTATGTTGTGGAGCGCACCGAAAATATTGTAGTTTAACTTTTGCTTCGATTGGCATCATAACTCACACTAAATTCGAATAATCGCCAATAATTTGGTTTTGCTTCGTTTCAATTTCAAACTTTTGACAATTGTCAAATAAGCAACAAATATACCTAATGAGAATCAAATTAATACAAAATCTAAAATAATTGAGCTCTTGCCTTGGAATCAAACAAAGATTACGAATTCCTACAAATTTGGTTTGATTAGAAAAAGAGAGAAAGAGAGAGAGAAATGTGCGAGAGTTGACAAATATTCTCAGGGGAATCGACATTGAGATCGGGATCGGTTCGAATCGATGAGTTGTTTAAACAGTTGATCTGCTGCTAACTTTTGCCGGCTGGGTTTAATTTTAGACCATTTGCGTTAGACATTTGATGGATTTTCCGCTCGATTTGCATTTTAAAATATACGCTAGCATTGTCTTTGGAATGGAGCGTGTATCCAAATATTTGGGTCTATCAGCCAAACTGTGGCACATTCTACATACATATATAGTGGAGCCAACCCTTTCGGATTTTTCGGGGTTTTGCCTCTGACGTAGACAGTCTGGCCAAACACAACTATATTCACACATATGGGGGCAAAACATATACTCCAATTCCAATTCCGATTCCAATTAGCCGAGAAAGCCATCAGTCAATGCGAGAATTATATTATTTTTGAGCGACCATCGTGGGATCGAATTAAATTGGGATCGCAGTCACGCGATGATAAGCACAAATCGAATTTTGTGCATGAAAAATTATGATTATTTCTATTATTTGTAAACCGATTATCTATCACGCCCCAGCTGTCGTTTATATGCTGGTCAATGGATTGTTGTGTTGATGTTGACGAGATGCGGGACAGAAAACTAAGTTTTAAAATAATCGGGTTTTCTTATCAGGCATATTTTTGGTAAAAATTCTATGATATTTTCTGTATTTAAATATACAAATTTTTAAAAAACTGTTCTATTCCAAACTAAGAAATGCTTGAAATCTAAACTACAAAACCACAGACTTATCAATGACTTCCCATTTTAGAGGCCACTTCATAAATGTTTGTGGTTTTTGATTACTCCTAATCAGATTTATTTTTTTAATATTTTTTTTTTCAGCTCCCTGGTGTTAGGATAAACAACTAAATCTAGCCGCAGAGCAAAGTCCATGAAAAATTGATTTCGTTTTGGGGTTTGGCCTTTTTTTCGACGTTGTTTTTTTGTTTTGTTGTGCATAAAATAAATATGTTGATATATGTCGATAAAAAAATTCTAAAAATATATATAAAGTCAAACATACACATTTTTGTAGGGGCAGATAAAAACAGAAAAAAAAAGCGAAATTTGAAATGTGAAATGTGAAATCGAGACATATCAGATGCGGTTGAATTTGTTATTTAATAAATACATTTCTTGTATGCCGCCGGTTTTTTCCGCATATGCTGTTTGTTTTTGTTTGCCGCGTGTGATAAAATTAAAAAAAAAATGTTAGCAAGTGCCACCGAACGTGTCGTTTTTGTTTGAAAATAATATGTGCTTACTATTAGTGGCAGAGCAAAATCGAAGCGGAAGCTGCGTTGGCTGGCATGCTGCTAATTTGTTGTTCATTTGTTTGCGCTGTCAAGAAGCGTTTAATTTTTCTCTATTCTCTATTTGGTTTTTGATTATTTGTGTGTTTTGTGTTTTTTTTGTTGCGCTTTATTTTTGGAAGCGAGACGCGGCCCAAAGCACTTTGTCTATAAAAATGCACTTCTGCGAAAAAATAAACACATGCCTCATAGCCAAAACAAACGCACCACCACAAAGTGTGGAGCTGCTGCACTCCGACTCTAACAACAAACAACTGTTGCAATTCCATTTAACATGTTTTCTGGGCAAAAATTTGCGCCACAGACAGTTGTGCTTCAAAAAATATAGTAGTTGTGCAAAATATGTAATGAGTATACAAGTATTTCTGTTTTCCACAATTTTGAATATCTCCACAGATGATTCTAGGAAGTGGCTTAAGAGTGAAATTGAATATTGAAAATCTGTTTCTGTTTTAAAATCTGATTCCCATTTTACCACTAGTATTTTGCCCACAACTGTAGATATATCCCAGGGCCGCTCCGTTTATATTCCTGTCGATCATCTTTGGCTGCCGCTTCGAGGACAAAAAAATATTGTCGCATATTTATGAACATGTGTAACAGATAAATCTGAATCTACGCACACAGCAGCGCTCATAAGTGATTTAGTTGTCAGCCGAGTGCATTTATCACAGCTGTGCATGGGCGGCTATTTGGGGGGTGGTTGCTGCATCGAAGGAGCGGTTTTTTTTGTTTTTTTTGGAGGGGGGTGCAGAGGTGTCGTCCGGGCGCCAGTAATCAAACTAATGAGCTTGGGCCCACCAGCAGGCGGCCAAAATAGCTTTTAATGGATTTCAAATAAGAAAACGCGCACAAAACGCAAGGAAAACGCAAGCTACAAAAAGGGGGAGTGGAAAAGGACAGGGGTGCCGATTTGGGGGGGCTAAAGGTTTAGCAATTAATCATTTTTGAAAGAAACATTTATTCAAAACTCTAAGAAATACATAACAATCCTTGCTTTTTTTTTATAAAAACCCGCCTGACTTATTTAGCCCCCTTTGTGAATATTGTACCTAAGCCAGTGGTGTCTGGCCAAGTGAAGTGATAAAACATTAAAGAAATGCGCTGCTTCTCCTCTTTTTCTTTTCATTTTTTGCCCTCCTCTTTTCAGCAACACCTAGGGGTTGCTAATGGAAAAGAAGCTGCTGCTGATGTTGCTGCTGCTGCTGCTGCTGTTGCACTTAATGGCAAATGATAATGATTGATGCTAAAATGCAATGCACCACACTCCCGTGTGCACATCTTCAAATCAGCACAAAAAGCCACACGAAACACTTCAAGTCGAAGCTTTTCACGGGTGGTTTTCGGGATAAGCAATCATTCAATGCGGTGTGTGTCACAAAAAAAAAAAAATAAAAGAATACAAGGAAAAAAAAAGGGGGAAGATTGTTTCTGATTTTTGCATTAGGGAAATTGCTAGGTTTTTAACTTGTTGGTTTCTGGGGCTTCACTGCTGACTTATTTAACGTAATGCAAGACTTATAAAAAGTCTTTCAATTTTACAAAAATCCATTCGTATTATTGTAAGTTCCAAAAATCCTCTAGCCAATTAACAATAGATCTTACACTTAAAACCCTAAGGTATACTATCTCCCTAATTTCTTTCCCATCCTTTTTGCAACTGGTGCTGTGTAAACAAAGGCATTCAACAAATTTGTAGGCGTAAAAATTGTCTTGTCAATATTTTAATGATATCACTTTACACCCCCTGTTTTTAGTCCTTGTCCTTGGGAATCCCAACCTCCTCATCATCCTCGTTTTGCCTGCCCGCAAAAGTTTCCTTCTAACTTTTTCCCTTGGCTTGATGTTGGGTTGATTTTCCGTGTCCCAGGGAAAAAAGGCTCAAATCCCTGGCTGTATGATTTTTTTTATTTTCGCTTTTTTTTTTTTTTTTTTTTTTGCGCCAGTTTGTCCCTTTTTGCCGCTTCTTCTTGTTCTTGGGCGTGTAAAGAAGAAGTCAAAAGTCCCGCCGCCGCTCATTTGTTTGCCTTGTATTTTACTTTTTGTTTTTTTTTTCTGTTTTTTTTTTGTTTTCTATTTTTTTCCGGTCTCGGTTTCGCCGTACTCGGGCAACATTTTTTCTGTTTGGCTAGAAAATTACAAGAAAAGTGGCCGAGTGGGTGGAAAAGCGTGGGGGGGTGAGGGGGGAGGGTTTTGTTTATTTGTGCAAGTGTTTTCTCAATTGTGCGTACTGGTTTGGGGTGGCGGCGGTCGGTCAGTCGTGCGTCGTCGTCTGCGGTTGAAATTCCTCTCCTTGGTTATCCTGTCTTCCGTTTTTTTTTGTTTTTTTCACTCCTTTTGGCAGCCCATGGCATCCTTTTTGGCCCGCAACACACTCGCACATTCCGAAATAATTGCGGTGTGGGCGGCGACGTTTGTCTAATCTTAACGGTTTTACATTTCATTGCGCTGGGTAATTGTCTGTCGGTGGGTGGGTTGGTTATTTTAAGGATATTGGACCTAAGTCCGCTACAGTTTATTAAATTAAAAAGTCACTTAAAGTTTGGTTTTATTTTTCGATGGCCAGACAACACGGGGTTGTGCTTAATCCATGGTACTTGAACTAACATGGGGATGGCACTTGAAATTTAAGCCTTTTTTGTTGATTTAAAGAGAGCTTTTAATTTAGTTAACTTTCAAGCTAACCAGTAGTTAAATATTTATAAACATTTTGGGATTAAGCCTAAAACAGTAGACAATAGTTTACTTTCTAGCCAACTTGCAACTACTTTTAGACAGAGGAATTGGTTTTCGCACCATGATTTTTAAAACCCCTATAAAAATTTAACCGCATGTTAAACTACCCTTCAGATCGTACAGTTTCTTAACTTGGGCAGTTTAAGTTAGTCCCAACTTTAAAGCTCATATCTTGTCAATCTAACAATTCAAATTGTACTATACATTCTAGGTTAATATTTTCATTCCAAACTCATAACCTTCGGTTAGCCGAAACTTACCTCTTTATCTTTGGCAGCTAATAAAACAGCAGGCTGGCCATTGTTGTTGTTATTGTTCTTCTTCTTGCGCTTCTCGCTGTTGCCGCTGCTGCTGTTGTTGTTGTTGTTGTTATTGTTGTTGTTGTTATTATTGTTGTTGGTGTTGCTGGTGGCTGTGTTGCTGGTGGTGTTGTTGTTATTGCTGGTGTTCGTATTGTTGTTGGCGCAATCATCGTCCTCAGCCGAATTGGCCACATGTTGCTCACTTTCATTGCCGCCATTGTTGTTCTTTCGACTACAACTATTATTGCTATCGGTTGTGTGATTATTGCTAACATTTAAACTAGCCTCCCCCGCATCCTTGGGCTCCTCAAGATCAGCATCCTGCTGCTGCTGCTGCTGCTGCTGCTGCTGTTGGGCTGTTGCACTTGGCTCAGTTCTGGTTTCTTGCGGTGCATCCAGCTCCATATCATCAGCATTCGACTGCACCGAGGCATTCTCCTCCTCATCGTCCTCGTCCTCATCCTCCTCCTCCTCGTCCTCCTCCTCTTCGTCCAGTTCCTCCTCGTCCTGGTGACTACTATTGTTGCCGGTGTGATTGATGTTGCTGCTGTTGCTGCCGCTCTTGGTGTTGCTAGTTGCAACCGGAGATGCTGCCGCTGCTGCTGCTGCTGCTGCAACAGCAACTTCTGGCTGCTCTGCGTTTGTTGCAACTTCAGTCGCCGGCGAATGCAACGGCGATTGCTGTTGCTGCTGTTGTTGCAATGCCGCCGCTGCTGCCGCCGCTGCCGCCTCCATCATCATCATCTGCTGGGCGTGGTTGAAGAAGAGCTTCGGATTGAGGCAGGCGCCGACACCGCCGCTCTGTTGCAAACCGCTCTGCAACTGCTGCTGCTGCTCGGCGCTGAGCAACGGCGGCGAGGGCGACGGCGTGTTTGTGTTCGCCAGCAGATTGCTGCCGTTCTGCTGCTGCAGCGTTATGGCCGCTGCAACAATGGAGCTGTTCAGCAGCTTGTCGCTTTCGCTTTCCACCTGCTGCTGCTGCTGCTGCTGCTGCTGATGCTGCTGCTCCTCCTCGCTGTCGTGTGTTGCTGTTGCACCTGCAACAATTGCTGCCGCTGCTGCTGCTGTGTCGCTGTTGTCGCTATTGGCGTTGCTCTCGGGATTGCCGGTGGATAGCTGCTCTTTGAGTGTGTTCACTTCCTTCTCGGCCAGGGTAGCGCGCTGAAAAATATACAATAAACCAATAAAATTATTAATTATAAATTTAAATATAATTTTCAAAAATCAATATAAGCTAACAATTTGATATTTATAACAATATAATGTTTGTATTACCATCAAATAAATATGTTATATTAAAAAAAAAGGTTTTTCTCGAACTGATTTGGTTATATATTTGCAATGGCACTTCAAAGAACCATCACCGCTTTAGAAGCTAGGCAGCAATGTCAGGCACATATGTTGCCTTTAGCACGAACAATAAGCAAAAAGTTTACGTCACCCCGCCGCCCCCTTTTTCACTCATCAGCGTCGGCCAACTATCGACCCTCATTAATTTTACTTTTAAAGTCATTACGGGTTAAATTTAGCCAAATTAATACGTTGCAAAAACTTTTGTCGGCCCCCGAAAATGCCAAAGCACCAAAACACTCGCAAACACACATACCAAATAGGCCAACAGGAGTCAGACGGAAGGCTTAAAAAACATTCCGGGGTATTTCCGTCTGCATTAGCAACCAAAAAACCAAAAAGCCCAGCAACAACAACAACAACAACAATAAAAGCAAGGATCTACAGCCAGGACCAACAAATTTATAGTTTATCGTTGGTATCGATAAGCCCAACTTGAAAATTTTCCCTGCTATTAGTGACCTGACCTTCGATGGGTGGTGGAAGTTCTTCTCCTCACTGGATTTAAATGCCAAATGAGAAATTAAAACAACAAAACAGAAACCATTGGACAAACAACAACAACAACAAAAAAAAACAGAAATAGTAGAGAACTCCCCAAGAAGAAGGTTACAAAAATATGCGGTGCAAACTTTTTTGGCAAATTAGTCTGGGTCCCAGACCAGAATCAGAATCGGGATTTTGCCCAAGTTTTAAGGCTTCCATTCGTTTGGCCTAAGCCCAAGCAGCCAGCAAATGGCAATGACTTTTGCTTCGATTTTCCGTTGATTTGTACTTGTTGGTTCGGTTCGGTTTTTGGGGTTTTTGTGCAATTTTATTTGTATAAATACCGGAAGCTAGCTGAAAAACCAGGACTTCAGTGGGCGTTGCAGGCAATAAAGAACTTTGGAAATTAGTCGATGGGCACAGCCAAAAACTACTATTGAGTGTGAGTTTTAAGCCTTTGCCGGTTCTTAGCCAAGTTCTACTTCATATCGATGAAGGTCCCCACCCCTCCCCCCCCCTATCACCTCTTTCTCCGATTTTCGAATAAAGTTAAGCAGGAAGTCGTTACACAGAGTGTAGAAATGGGCAAATGGCGCTGGATAGAGTTGGCTATGGGAGTTTGTGGTTTTGATATCAAAGCAATTCTAGTATAATTATTCCAGGGAAGAAGTTGTGTCTTATCCAGCAAAGCTATAATGATCATAGATCCATTTATAAATGTGTTTTGTAGAATCTTTTCCCTTTTTGTGCCGAACTTCCCCTAATAGCTCTTACTCAATCCACAATGTTCGGCATTCGATGATTTTCAGTATGCTTAATGACAATATCGCTGGGAAAAGCAAAAAGCAAAAAGCAAATCATTTTTCTTGCCCTGCCAGGCATATTTGTCAACATCATCATCCTCATTACGATGGAATCGAAATGGGATGGTATGGTGGGCCACTCGTCGCATAGATATATATTTATGATATTTAAAAGCTCTTAAGTACAAACAACAGACAAGTGGTTGGGCGCTCCTGGGAAGAGAGCTGCAGTTTTGTCCTTCGTCCTTAGCGTCCGACATCCTTTTCGAATGCCAGACACACAGGCAGACAGCTGCAAACTGGGTGGTTTGGGTGGCTTGGGTGGTTGGGGTGTGGTTATGCCTCCCTTCGGTGGCTCAGTGGTTGCTCTGTTTTAAGACCTCGGTTGCCGTTGCCCGTGAGCTGCTTAAGCTTGAAAATTGTTTTCATAATGGCCAAGAGCGGCAGCGGCAGCGGCAGATACTTTTCCGTTTTCATTTTCGTTTTGATACCCGGCTAGCATTTCCATTTCCATTGCCATTTCCATTTCCATTTCTTTCGCTGACTTTTTGCTGGACCGACCAGACCAAGAGTACCAAAATCGATCACTGAAACGCAATCCCCGTGGGAATGTTGGCACCTGTTGTTGTCCGGTTTTTCCACCTCGGGAAAATAGTTCCTTGGTCTTGGTCATACCCTCTATCGTACACTCTCTGTTCAAATCAATTAATGCCAGCCAGTCCAACGATTCTGGCCCACTTCGAGTTGGGCTTAGCAGCAGTTGCCAACCAAATGAGTTAATTAACTAAAATGCGGGTGGCTTTGCCCGGCATTTTTTTGGTTTTTATTTTATTTTTTTTTTTTTTTTTTTTGCAAGTTGGAGAGGGTTTCTGTTTTTTTTTTTTTTTTTGGGGCTCTGCCCACTTCAATGGCTCTGCGTTCTCGTCGTTTTGGCCCGTGTGTGTGGTCAGCTTATGGCTGGGCAAGGCTTTTTCGTATTTTCGTGTATTGAGCACCCTTTTAGCGCAGCCCCGGCTCCCCTTTTATTTTTGGGTTTCATTTAATATTTTGCCGGTTGCCACTTCAAAGGATCTTTTTTCAAAAAAAAAAAAAAAATAAATAAAAATATATACAAAATATATATATATATATTAAAAACGGGTAAAATCTCTCGCGCGCGCTAACCAAAAATGTTAAGTGAAATGTTAGTCCCTTGTCTAAGGGTCTGTTAAAATTCCATTCATACTTAAATTGAAATTGGGAATGGTTATGGCTTGGCTTAATAAAATATATGTATATATTCTTATGGATTGTATTGGTTTGTTAAATAAATTTCAATAGCTCATTTCTATGGCTCATTTGCTTTGTACTCAGACTGCAATTGTATCAACTATTGGCAAGTCCAACTTGAAAGTCCTTATTCCATTTTGAGCGCCTGTTTCTGTTTCTGATTCTGATTTCGATTCTGTATTTTATTTTTATTGTATTCTTTTGGTTTTATTTTTTTTTTTTTGTATTTTGTGTGAGCCCGTGTGTCGTGTGTGTGTGTGTGTGTGTGTTTGAGTTGTTTGCTCGCAATTGTCGTGTGCTTGGCACATGTCAACTCATTCGCCAAAAGTCCCCCCCATTTTCGCCACACCCTCTGAAGTTGCAGCATGCGGCATTGTCTCAAGCTGTTTGTCTGAAGTGAGTTTGCCTCAAGACCTCTCTCTCTCTCTCTGTCTCTCTCTCTCTTTCTGTGGCAAAAAGCAAGGAACAAGAAACAAGGAACAAGGAGCAAGGGGCAAGGAGCAAGGAGCAGTAGCAGCTGCTGTCAGGACTTCGGGACCTCTTTCTCTGGATTTCAGTGGATTTCAGAGCACTTTTTCAGGGGAGGTTGGGCTGCGAGCACTTTTTGTAATTAGTACGAAGGCAATGTTATGAATTGTGTACTTCAACTTAAGCTCGAGTGCCTTCATCTTGTTCTTATTCTGGTTTTCTGATTTTCCAGGGGGCACATACATGCATCAACCCCCTGTTTGGAAAGGGTTAACACGCGAGGCGGCTGCATTGTGCGGTTTTTGGACAATAAATCAAAGCAAATCAATGCGAAAATAAATGGGGATGAGTGGTTGAAGGTGGCACACGCCGTTACTCCTTTGAAGCCAGTATTCACAGTTTTTGCTTTCCTAGTTAGCTGCGAAATTCGAAGGACTCTCAAAAGTCCCTCCCTTAACCCATGACTGCCACTTAAACGCCTACATGACATGACAGGCTGTCATGGGGAAAAAGCAGTGCCCCCAATCCCCAAACAAACAAAAAAAAAAATGAAGATGACGACGAACCCAAAGCGTTTTTCACAATTACACACACATTAAACAGCACAAGCCAGAGATAAAGCTCTAAAAAAAGTAGAAGATGGCTACAAGGGGTTAAAAATAGATACATGTGTGTGTGCGTGTGTGTAATGAGAGCGAAACATTATTGTAGCCTGACATTAGGCGCTGACAAAGGAAGGGGGTAAAAAAATAAAGAAATAGAAAATGGAGGTTAAGCTTACGCTTTGACAGCCACAAATGCTAAAATAAGGATAAATATCTATTTATGTATACATGGTATGTATAAATATGACAACATATATGGGGCACACACTTAACAGGCAAATGAGTATGACAGGATTATTATTTAAGAAATCAAGAAGTATAAGGAAAAGCAAAATATAGAAAGAAGCCTTTAAATAAACCTTTTTGTATTTTTTGCATTGTTTTGATTTCTGTTTAATTCAATTTCCTTCGCTGTACAGAACATTCTCAAGTTTCTGCTCTTTGAATACCTAAAATAAAATTACCCTTTCCCTTCAGGCCCGATTTCATAATCCTCGCCATAGCGCATTTAAGCAGCTCAACTGTTATCCATTAATTGCTCGGGCTGCTTGTCGACTGAATACTCGAGGAACTCCAACTGAAAGCCCCCCAAACTGGATGCCCCCACAATATTCTTCAGATTCGGGGCATGCCTTTGCATTTGCTTTACAATTTCAAACATCATTAGCAGCGCACACAGAGCCGGTTTTTGGGGGGTGTGGCAAACACACAAACACACACACACACCCATGTGCATATATATCCCTTTTTGCTAATTATTTATTTAAATATTAAACAAAAAATACCCAAAACACACACAGAAGGAAAGAGTTCAAACCCGACCTCAGAAAAAAAAAAAAATAAAATAAAATAAAACTGCAACAAAATCAAAAAAAAAACTGAAAAGAGTGGCATGAAGTTAACACACACACACAGTGAAATAACCACTCACACACACACGCTAACACACACAAAAGGAAAAGAGAAAAGACGAAAATGATGTATTGATGCTGAAAGAGAGGGGGGCAATGATATGGGGATCCTGTCTGCACACAAATAAAAAACACACACACTCACACACAGGAGGAGAAGACAAGAAGAAGAAGAAAGAGAGCCTGTATATGCAAATACATAACTGTACATTGGTTGAGATACCGTTAGAGATTTGAGGCTCTTGTGTGCCTTCTCTTTTGGCTAACTA